TGCAAGTCGTGCTGACCTTCCAAACAGAAGCTCAGATTCCCACTGTCAGCCACACATGAAAATGTCAAGCCCCCTCCTGTTACTGTTCCAGTCTAGCCAGCCCCAGGTGTGAGACAGGAAGGAGAGGAAGCTGGGGAGCCGTCCCATCCACGCATCTTAAGATGGGCCTGAGTCTCCCATGGCCTTTCAGTCCTGATCCGATCCACAGCTGACACATCACCACCAAGAGCTGCCCACTGTACTGTGGGCAGGACACACAGGAGCAGAAGGACGGGGAAGGAGCTCCCGGGGCCTTCAAGCCAGTCTCATTCCTGCACCCCTGGGGAAGAGAGGCCCTGCTACAGAAATGGTGAAAGCAAAGTTTAGAAATGCAAGAAAAACAAAGACGATGTGAATTTTATATTGCGATATATTAATGAGTACATATAACCGAAGCCAAAGCTTCATGATCCTACACATGAGCTTAAGTGGTACTTAGAAATTCTTCAGAAGTTAAATGCAAAATACAGACAGCCAAAATACAAACCCCCATGGCTCCCCTAAAAAATTCTGTCCTGAGCTACCACACTGACTTCTGCCCTCGGGGAACTTCAGATCTCCAGGAAAATCAATTGGTAAATGACAGAAGATCTGATCAAGGATTCCAGGTAGAGCGGGACACAGGAGGGAGCCATGGACTCTCACAGGAATAAAATCAGCAAAGCTTCCAGGAGAGGTGACAGGACACCATGTTTATACAGGACTGTGTGTACTTCAGAGTGTCTGCCAGAATTCCTGTTGTTGCCCATTTTCCACTTCTTCAAAACCAATCGAATTCAGGGCCTTTCACTAAAGCCAGACTGCCTTTCTCTGTGCAGCTTCTTCATGCCAGGAAGCTGCACAGAGAAAAGGCACACCTTTGAAAATAAAAATATTCCAAATATTTTTATTTACAAAATAATTTACAAAAATTACATGGGCTCAGGATTCTGAGGTCTGGTCAAAAGATGACTCAAATGTTGTTTTAAATTGTTTAAAATTTTAAGAATTGACAACTGATGAATATGAACTGTTAAAGACTTAAAAACTACCTGTATTAAAATACTTCTGGTTAGAGCTGTAATACTTACCTGGCTTAAATGCCTAACAAGAATTTTAAAATAGGCCGTTCTCTTAAAAAATGTGCAACGGTTTTCTTGACCTAACCATTTGACAATAAAAACCTATGTGTTTTACATAAAAATTTCAAAAATTACCCTTAAAAACACACATAGACAAAATAATTTCCTGTGTAGAATCTCATTAACTTTTTATTGGTTAAACCATTTTTTTTATTGCTGACTACAGTAAAAATACTTTTTACCCACTCATTTCCCAACTTAAGCACCTTACAGCAAGAGAAGGCTCAAATATTCTACTCCAGACTTTTAAAGAAAAAAATCTTTATAAATAAAGTTGTGTGGGGAAAAGGGGTTTCTTTCCTACCAAAAAAATGTTTTCACACTGGTACAAAATTAGATGGCAAGAAAAACCCGAAGAGGGAGAAAGAGATCAGAGAGAAAATGAGATGTGTGACCAGGCAAATGCTCGGGAGGACTTGGAGAGAACGAGAAAGCAGCATCCTAGACGACATGTGCGAGGAAGGGTATTACAGTGGAGGGGCCTCCCCGTCTCCCTTCCCTCTGTTCAGGATAAGCAGCTTCACAGAAGAGAAGGCACATGGGCTTTGGAACCAGAGGACGAGGTTCCCCTCACCTTAAGCCAAGGCCTGGCTGCACAGCCAGTAAGGCCGAGCGAGCTTCGGTGTACAGATGGAGGGCGAGAGCACATGGAGGGTTAGCCAGAGGAGTAAATGGAAGTTAGTTATAGCAGCCACTGTAATGACTGCCACTGGGCTCCCAGGGAGACTGACAATGACTTGGTGGGGGCAGTGGGGAGGTGGGTGGTACTGGGGGATTGAACCCAGGGGCACTTTACCACTTAGCCACATCCCCAGACTTTTTACTTTTTTATTTTGAGGCTGGCATTGAACTTGAGCTCCTCCTGCCTCAGCCTCCTGAATCCCTGGGCTTACAGGTGTGTGCCGCCACACCCAGCCCCTAATGATATTGCTTAAAGCAAGGCAAGTAGGCCTTTAAAACATTTAAACACTGTAAGTTAAAGTCAAATCCCATATCTTTTAAAAGTTTGGGGGGCTAAGAAATGGGTCACAAATAATTGTATTGATAACAATCATATTTGTGAATAATTATTAGATATATAAAAAAGACTGGATATGTAAAAAAGCCATTTCACTCCCATGAAATGGCTCCATTGCTCCATTGCTCTGTGATGTGCTTTCATGGACAGGAGGGAAGGAGGCTGAGGTGGCACAGGATCCTGGGTAAGCTGGGTGTGTGCACTCCAGGGCAAGGTGAGGGACCATGGCTATTCCACCTTGCACACCTAAGTGAAGTCAACAATACCCAGATGTAAGAGTGGCTCACATGGCCAGGAGTCTAGGTGGAGGGCCACAGGAAAGACTCACCAACCACAGTTTCTCCAGGTTCTGATCAACTAGCCTGCTGTCCTCCCTCTCTGGCCAGGGGACCAGCAACCACCCAGGAGAATCACTGCTCCAGGTAATAGGTATTTGGTTGGGGAAGTACCAGGGATTGAACCCAGGGTGCTTATCCACTGAGTCGCATCCCCAGCCCATTTTATATTTTATATTTGAGACAGGGTCTTGCAAAGTTGCTGAGGCTAGCTTTGAACTTGGAATCCTCCTGCCCCAGCCTCCCAGGCCACTGGGATAGCAGGTATGCACCACCATGGCCACCCAGGTGATGATTCTGTTTTTATCTTCTCAAAGTACCTTTTTCCTTAAAAATTGTCACCCAAAATAAATCTCAAAGTCCTAAAAATAAATGTGGCCCTGGATGGAAATCAAAGTTGCCCTGGAAGTTCCTGAGCAACACTAAGCAGTTCACAGCGTCCTGCTGTGCAGAATCCCAGGGCAACTGAGCCCAGAGAAGGCAAAAGAATCCAAGAGCCGGGCTCCACCCGACACCAGCTCAATGCAGAGCTAGCCCACAGAAAATGTACAGAATGCCCACCACAGCTTCATTTTGTAAACAGGAAGGAACAGAAGAAGTAAAATGTGGCAAATAAGGACTGGGAAGTGGGACAAACTCTAGTCACATCCTAATCCCTTTTGCTAGAGATCACTGTCCAAAATGTCAGCATCTCATTTCCAATGACAAACTCTGAACTCAATCTTCCATTACAGACTCACACTTCAAGAACTTCAGAGTAAAGGGACCTTCCATGACATACAATTTACCACCCAGGAAACCGAGAGCAAATGAGGCTGTGTGGGTTGCTGGCAATGACCCTGTCGGTGGCAGACACAAGTGTGTCAACACAGCTCTTTGCAGGCTCAGTCTAGGACCCTGGTCTGTCACGTCAGCTGACTTTTCAGAGTGGCTTTAAGAAACGGTGCACCTGCATTTTTGGAGTTACAATAAAGACTTAATGTGTTCAAGGCCATTTTTTATAAAGACATTTCAATTACTATGCCTTTATTACTCAATAAAATGTATACTTTGTTACAAAATGGTGGCACTGAGATAAATTTCTACCTAAAATCCATAAACTTCTACCTAAGATCCATTCACAGTTGATATCTTAACTACAAATTCTGCAAATGAGTTCCCCCCCCTCAAACTAGTAAGTACGTGAAACTGGTTTTTACTCATGGTCTCAGAAGTGATTGTAACATACCTGTAAAATGCTTTTAGTGTGTTACAGGATGAAGAAAACGTGTAAATCAGCCAAATATTACAAATGAAATGTCAGAGTCAACATGTGCCAATAATACTTCAGTACTAGGTTTTTCTAATAAAGGTCCATCCCACAAGTGATTACTCTAATAGTATAAATTATTTAGAGAGAAAATTGAATTTAAATTTACTATAAAGCCACATCTAAACTGTAAAATTACTCTAAGCTGAAAAGTTTTATACCCACTTGGTTGTGAAATAAGTTATTTCCCTGACAATAAAATCATGGCTGAGTCTATTCCACACTGTGCACCAAATAGAAGTTAGTGAAACATCCAAGTCATCTTATAAATTATAACTTTTTTTGTATATTTATCTTCCTACCAAAATTTCAGATACTGAGGACCTGGTTTCCATTTGTTTTTGGAGCACTCAGACATAAAGTACTAAAGGAGAACTATCAATTTAACTTACTGTTTAAAATGGTCAAAACAGAAAACACCACAGTGCACCTATTATTTCAGCCCGTTTGAAAACTGCAGTTAAGCTTGCTAGCATTTTTTCCTAAGTTCATAATCTCATCTATTATGATTACATTTTACTAATTGAAAATAGGAGATTCTGTAAATGAAAAGCATAACCTCTTCAGGTGCTTAATAACACATATGAAGAGTAGAAATTCATTTTAAAAAGATATGAAAAAAATCTCGTCTTCTTTAAGCATGTTTTTTTTTTTTCCAGTTCTGGGAATTAATCATCAATCCCAGATAAACAAAAGTTCAAAATTAATGCACAAAAACATATGGAAGACATTGGACACAGGACATGCTTCAGTGAGCACTGGCTAATGAAATAATCAAAGCACAATTCTATTTTCTAGTGCTACTACCAAATTTATACCTGAAAGTCTATAAAATAGTACTCTTAAAATGAGAAACTGTAATTATCTGATGTGAATAAAAACATTTCCCTATTTTAAAACTGTTTAAATTCTGTCTTCTGATCTAAGATTCAAAACTAAATCCATTATATAGAAAAATAAAATTTAAAAAAAATTGACTAGAGCCTACTTCATTGACTCATTTGTACGGCAATCAAACATACACTTCCTGGTCAATGCATGAAGTCAAGGACAAAACTGAATGATTTTAGATGTAAAATAACTTTTATAAAGATGGCCCATAAGTGTGAACAGAGAAGTGTTTTTATAACATGGTTCAGAAAATACATGTGCCTGCTTATCACACTTTCAACAATTACCTTTAATTGTTTCCTCCACAACTTCCACCACGCGATCTATCTGTTGAACCTAGAAGAAAAAACAGACAGACAGCAATGGTAATGGAGAAGAAAAACGTACTCACGCTTCTGCCTGAGTCGATGTGTATTTCCTAAGCACATCAATGTTGGTTTTCTTTAATTAACACATTTGGAGAGATTATTTAAAAATTCTATACTAATGTTTTGTGTAATAATGAAGTATGAAATTATCACCATCCTCTCCCCCAATGATAATTGAAAAAATAATCGTACTGCATTCAAACAAACTGCCTGGATAGACTATTTATGTCTCAATGTAACCGGAGATATAAATTTAAGTTTAATTAAAAAATGTCTCCTCCCACAGAGCTTTAAGCAAAAAGGATGTAAACGACAATCTACCCAAAAGGACATGCTAATACTAAGGAGTGCTATCCCAAATGCTGTGCTATATTGTTTTAATTGTTAAAACCCTAAGAATTTTACCAGGCATTCAAGTCCATGAAATACAAGGTTGAATAACAGGCTCCTGATCCATGTGCCCGTGACTCGAGGAGCCCTCCCAGGGTGCCAAAGAAACACAGGACAAAGATAATAAAATCAGACCAAAGGAACCCAAGTGACTTTTGAGTGACGACGGGAGAAGCCTACCAAGCCGACTGCAGAAGGATGGCTCGAGGTCGGAAGGAAGATGGAAAAGGCAAAGTAAAATTATGATCCAAGAAGCTAGAGGAAGAATCAGGAAAAGGTCAAGGCTGATTCTCTAAAGATGCTCAAATTATTATTGTCTTCATACAGAAGAATCTTATGTGCACTGGAAAAGTTAAAACCAAATACGACTACCAAAAGAAAACAGCAGCAGGGCGTGGGGGTGCAGGCCTGTAGCCCCAATAGCTCAGGAGGCTGAGGCAGGAGGATCTCGAGTTCAAAGCCAGCCTCAGCAAAGGGAGGGCGCTAAGCAACTCAGTGAGAACCTGTCTCTAAATAGAACACAAAATAGGGGTGGGGATGTGGCTCAGTGGTCGAGTGCCCCCAGGAGTTTCATTACCAGTACTCCCCCCCCAAAAAAAGCAAGCAACATTCCCCTCCTCTATTTCCACTCCACAGATAAAATCACTTTATGATGAGGCACCAGGTATTTTTCTCATGCTGAACATTTATATAAAAAGTATTTTCCTGGGCTGGGGCTGTAGCTCAGCGACAGAGCACTTGCCTAGCACGCATGAGGCACCGAGTTCGATCCTCAACACCACATAAAAAATAAAGAAATAAAATAAAGGCATTCTGTCCATCTACAACTACAAATGTTTTCTTAAGTTTTTTTTCCCCCTGAATCTTTCTATAGTGCTATTCTTTTTTAAAAAATGACAGTGGAAACGTGTGTGTGCGCGCTTTGCCCCTTGACTTTTCTCTACTTTTTTCTTTGTTCATCCTCACTGCATGGATGTTGCAAAATGTATTCATCCATAATCCTACTGATGAAAGAATGTCATCACTCTACAATAATGCTATGAAGAACTTAACTGAGAAGAACCTGTTCAAAAATTTTTATTATAAATACAATAGCAAGTCTCCTAAAACTCTCCTTTCACCCTCAGTGTCCTACAGGAAAATAGGGAAAGACAAGCATGCATAAACCCTGCCCTGCCAGAGGTAAAGTGACAGGGAAAGGAGGAGCCAGCAGTGTCAAAGGCTGCTCAGATGGTAAGTAACACACAGCCCAAAATGAACATGTGTTTAGGGGTCGACAAACTTAGAGGAATAAGTTAACTCTGTGGTAACAAATCATAAATAAAATGGAGACACTCAAAGCTGTGGGCAGAAAGGGAAGGAGAGAGACTCCAGGTAGTTGAGGAAATTGAGACTCGATGTGTTTTTGTTTGGATTAGTCCATTTCTCTCTTTTCTCCCTTTTTGTTTTTCTGGTGTATATGCTAACAGAAGAACAGAAATAGAGAAGGAAGAGTTGAATACAGCAGAAAAAAATGATGGCGTAAGGGCCCCGAGAATGGGGGACAGGGTGCAAGGCTTCTTGTGCAAGCAGAGGTCAGAACACAGCAGGGGAGCAATGCCGTGCTCCCGTGGGATGAGGGCGAAGGCCAAGCAAGCTCTTGTCTGCTGGCCTCAGTCTGTCTCAACGGAGTAAGAAATTCATGTGCTAAGAGTGAGAAAACGTGAGGAAATAAGAACGGAGTCAATGTCCACAATCGCCTGTTATAAGAGCAGGAGCGAGTGGCGACTAGGAACTCGTAAAAATCGTCAGGACTAAGAAGAAAATTTCCAGCAGTGAGTTCACTACAGCTGACTCTCAAGGCCTAGCGGCTTCAGTGTAGGAGGCAAATAGGCCGATTCAAACTTGCTGATTCCATCACTCACTCATCACTGGATTGATATCTGATGTGTACCACATGATCCAAAGGAGTAGAGAAGCAGCATTAAGAGGTTATGGAAAAGACCAGAGGGAAATGGAAGGTAAAAGCTGACTATGCGTTTTGGATAACATGAAGTTTGGAAAATAGGTGAAGAAGTACAACCAAAACGAAGAGATGAAGTGGGCAGGGCTGGGGCAAGAAGGGGAGGAAGAAGAGAGAAAAAGAAAAAAAAAAGAAAGTCAAGCAGAGGGTACAATCCAGAGTATGGATACAGGCATTTGGTCTTTTTGAGTAATCCCAAGTTCCAAGATCTGCTCACAGAAACAGGTTGCTGAAAAACAGTGGAGCTGAGAAATAAGGAGGGGTAAGGTTAAAGTTTGGTGAGACATCAAATAAGGGACGACACTGACACTGCCCAGGGTGACAGACAGCTGGGCAGGACAGGGAAGAGTTGTCCAAATTTTCCACTGAATGTAGATGAACAACCAAGATATCAAATGATAATATTAGCTGAAGAATAAGAATGAAAAGAGCAAAATATGAGATAACTCTGTTGCGGGACCAGACCAAGAGTGCTCTCCTATGCACTTGGAGATACACAAGTTCAAGGGAGCACTGCACCCTGCCTTGGACCACCTCAACTAAGAGGCCATACTGCCAAGGAAGAGAACATGTGGAGGAGCAGTCTGCTACAAGCACGATGAGTTAAAACAATAAAACTCTTGGAAGAAAACAGACATAAATCCATATCAACCTTGGATTAAACAATGATCTCTCAAATATAACAACAAAGCATGCATAATGAAAGAAAAAAAATAGATAAACCAGACATCACCAAGAGCCAAACCTCTTGGTCCATCCAAGGACACCATTAAGAGAGAGTAAAAAGATGCAGAAAATGCAAGAAAACTTTTACAAATCATGAATCTGACAAGGGATATTTGTAATTATGAGAAGTCCCACAACTCAAGAGTAACAGAAATATCAATTAAAAATGAGCAAAGGAGCTGAACAGACGCTTCTCCAAGGAGATACACAAATGGCCAATAAAGAGATGCTCAGCACCATTAAGCCAACCAGAGGATGCGAATCGTGACAACAAGCAGGAGACTGGGATTTTGTGCGCATACAATTTAAAAAAATGAAAACATTCTGGAAATGGATGGTGGTGAAGGTTGCAAAACAGTATGATCATGCTTCATGCCCCTGACCTGTGCACTTAAAAATGGCTAAAATGGTCATTTTCATCATGCATATTTTACCACAATTTTGAAAAACCACCGAGATGAGCTCTCACTTCACACCCACTGAGACAGTATCCTAAAAAACGCTGATAACAATGATGGTGAGGATGGGAAGCACTGCTAATGGAGCTAGACTCAATGCAGCCAGTTTGGACAGGTCTGCAGCTCCTCAGAGGGCTGACCAGTTTCCCTATGACCTAGCAATTCCAATCCCAGACATACACCCAAGAGCAATTACAGTTTCAGCCACACAAAAACCAGTGCACAATGTTCACAGCACTATTCAGAATGGCCAAAGATGGAAACTCAAGCACCCTTCAGCTGATAGGTGGGTAAACAAAACGTGGCATATCTACAAAATTAAGTATCAAGTCATAAAAGGGAATGAAGCATTGATACAGCATTACACTAAATGAAAAGGCCAGACAAAAAAGGTGACATGATTCCACTTATACGAAATGTTCACAAAGGGAAATGACAAGAGGTTAGTGACTGCCTAGGGAGAAATGAGGTGCTGAAGAGTGCTGGGTTCCTTTATGACCACAACGCTGAACATACCTAAAACCATGTTACCCATATAACTGGAGGCACTGTCCAGTGTGTGGATTGTATCTCAATAAAGTGATGTGGCCAAAAAAAAAAAAAAAAAAAGAAGGTGGTCACCTGTTCTAGTGTCAATGTCATTAAGTCAAAGGAAATTTTCTAGATTAAAGAACTAAGAGACCTGAAAACTAAATGTTACTGTGGAAACCTGGATGTGCTCCCCACCCCTTTTCCTATAAAGGACATTACTGAGGCAAGTGACAATAACTATAATGAAAAAAAGTTTGTATACCAGCTTATTGTATTTCACTTCATGATCTTGGTGATGACCTGCCTTTTTAAAACACACAGGTACTTAGCAAAGGCACCATACCTGCAGCTTACTTTCAAGAGGATCAGGAAAAAAACACATGCATATAAAAACAGAACAAATCTGTTAAAATATTAGTACTGGGGAATTCTGGATGGAGGGCATATGGGAAATCTTTCCTTACTTTTACAAGTTTTCTGTAAGTATGACATTATATCAAAATTAAAAGTTTCACGGTGTATGTTTACATATGCATAGAGGAAATGAGGGCAGTTCTTTTAACCTGCTGGTTGTGCAGAATATGCTTCAATTAATATAGCTGAAAATATATTCTGATTTTTAAAAAGCACTCGATAGCATTTGTCTTAAAGGTGAAAAATTCTGTATTGCCCACACATGATAATTACTGGCTGTTATGAGAAACTCTAGGGCTTAAGAGTCCACAAAACTTAAACAGGCACAAAGTTGGGCGGGGGCACCTAGTTCAGCAGTAGGGCACTTGATTAGCATGCTTTAGCCCCTTGTTCCATGCCCAGCGCTGGAAAAACAAAAACAAAAAAACAAGTAAGTACTTGATAAAA